CCTTTTTTTCTATGACAATAATGATCTTTCAAGAATACTTTAAACTTAATCTCTATTTATATTTCAATAAAGTTGTTGGTCAGCCTCGTAATATTACTTTGATACTCCATCCTGTTCATAATAGGTATTATCTTTTCTATTTTTTTTAAAAATTATTTGTCCCTTTAGAATATCAATGTGATATTTATTATTTATTTTCACTATCTAATCTTATTTATTATATTTTAAATCATATAACTATTCTACTACATATTATTAATAATGTTATTTTAATAAATATTATTTATTTATTATTAAAATCAATACAATTAATTATTATCTTTAAAAATATGAAAATATAGGACGAACATCATTATAACACGGAGCAAGTAATGTTATCATAAGTAATTAAATACAAATACTTACTTAGTAATTAAATAAAGTATATAGACCTAATTAATGATAAGTCGTTAAATATAATAACTAACTTAATATTTAGTGAATCAAATTCCATTTTAAAATATTCATAATCTTTAGAAAAGAATGTTAATTATGGATTAAATATTTCTTTCATCCCAAATTAAATGATATGGTATTAATTATAATTTTTATAATTTTAAATGTGACAAATCATTGTATATAAATTATTTTAGAACTTAAAAAATAATAAATTAGACTTTATTATTAAAAAAATTGACATTTCATCAAATTTCATCGCAAAAAAGAGAATGTGGCAAAAGAATCACTTAAAGAACTTTAGAGATAAAATATATAACTTACACGTCATTAAAAAAATATATATGTTATTAATTTTCAATGAAATTTTTTAAAAAGTAGATTAAAATTATTTGAATTTTAAATAGAGAGGCTAATTCTATAAATGAGATAATTAAATTCATTTTTTTTAATGCAGGATTAATTCTAGTTATGTAAATGGTATTTCTTTCTGTCACAATTATAAACCTAAATAACTATTTGATCGAAAATGAAATTAAATTTGTATATTTAATGTAAAATATAGGACAAATATAAAAAATTATCCTTTATTTTTAATGGAAAAGTCAATTACTTTTTTAAACCTATCAATTTATAAATATAAACTATTTGTTTACATATGTACATAAATATAAATAAATACTTTCGATAGAAATTAAACCTTAAATCAACAATTTATATTTATTTAACTCAATTAACATATATCAATTTAGCCACTTTATTCAATCAATTATTAATATTAAATATTTTTAAATTAAAAAAATGACATAATAATAGATTAAATTAATCAAAATTGTTATCTTTATATTTTATAATGACTCAAAATTAAAGTTTTTTTTATTTATAATATAATTCGATGAATGAAGTATTTATAGGTGTAAAGTAGATTTAGTAAGGCTTATGTTAGGGTGGTGCAGAACGTAGGTTTGACTTCAAACATTGAAGAAATCTTTAGCATGGAGAAGTATTTTGCGATCAAAGTAACTCTTAATGAGGCAAACCTTTGCCTTCTTGAAGCAAGAAAGCTTAGAGAGTTAGATGAGTCGGTTTCCAGTGGGAATAGTTGACTGCAACAATGGTTTAATAAGGTTGTTAAATGGGAAGCTAATATGGTGGACATGGATAGAGTTACATAGATACGTTTGTACAGTATTCCATGCCATGCTTGGAACAACAACTGCTTAGAGTTTATCACCAAACCGATTGGAGCTTTCATTTGTGCAGATGATATTACCAGGGATCAGATCAAGTTGGATGTTGCAAGGCTCATGGTGAAAATTTCCTGCCCGGTGGTCTTGAACGAAATTTTGAGCGTCCAGATTAATGGTGAGTTATTCCATGTGAAAATGGTAAAAGATGTTATTGGTCCCCTCAGAATCAATGTGTCGCCAGTGGGGGAGCCCGATATGGGTTCGACGGAATCAAAGGTTGAGATGGAAACTAAGGTGGACGGTGAAAAGGATATTGAGGAAGAAGAGGTTGGTGAGGGTGATGATGACAAGGTAGACGATTTTAGGGCTTTGAGCAAGGATGATGGTGATTGTGGCGTTTCGTTTGTTCAGGATTTTGATTTTATGTAGAATAGTAATGAAAATGGTAAATATAGGCTGGAAGAGGTATCTTATAAGTCAAAGGTAGTGGGATTGGTCGAAGTTCATGATAAAAAAGGAGGTATCTGGACAAAATTTTCAGACTTGCAGTCAGCATGGGTGATGTGTCAAGCAGACAATGGCAAACCTATTATTAGTAGAGTGGGGTTAGGTATGGTCGAGACTGAGAAGATGGGCTCGATTTTGTTCAAGGAGTTGGATTCAAAACAAATTCTCAATGGACCTAGTTCAACTTCCCTTTTTAGAAGTCTGAATTTTTTTCTACAAACATATAATGTGGGTGAGGGTATTCAACATCCTAACTTCTTGGATTTTGTTAGATCTATGTGGAATTCCTATGGCATCTCGGGGAAGGCTGCTTTTGTGTTCAAAGAAAAGTTAAAACTTATAAGTGGTGATTTAAGAGGGTGGAATAAGCATGTCTTCGGTTTTCTTGATCTTGAGGATGATTTGGCTTGTAAGGAGCTTAACGCCTTGGATTTCATTGCTGCAAGTGATATGGTTCATAATCTGGATGAGTTGGCTTTGAACAGGGCGATGGCCGCATACATGGTGTGGCAATTGTTTCATTATAGGGAGAGTATACTTAGACAAAAGACGAAGCATAAACTGATTATGGAGGGCGATGTTAATGTTAGATTCTTTCACAAGGTAATAAAGGGTAGATTTAGGAAAGCAGAGATCTTGAAGCATTTTGAGGATAGATTCCAGGAAGGTTGTTTGAAATGACCTTCCCTTTCGGGGATTGATTTTAGTCAATTAACGAGGGAGGAAAGTTTAGCTTTGGAAACACCTTTTCTTTTGGAAGAAATTAAGAAGGTCATTTGGTCTTGTGATGGGGGAGAAGAGCTCGGGGTCGGATGGCTTCTAACTTGTCTTTTTAAAAGTGTGTTAGGACATAATGAAGGATGATTTGGAGAAGTTTTTGAATGAATTTTATTGGCATCCGATCTTACCAAAAGTTATTACCTCTTCGTTTATAGCTTTTATTCCCAAAATTAGCAATCCCTAAGCCCATGACATTTATAAGCCAATTTTTCTAACTGGGAGCTTATACACGATTCTGGATAAGTTACTAGCGTCAAGACTTAAGAAGGTTATGCCAAGTTTGATCTCTAAATGTCAAACAACTTTTCTTCCTAAGAGACTAATGGTAGTTGGGGGTGTTGGTTATTAACAAGTTAGTGGACTATATTAAGAGGCATCGAAGAAATTGTATGTTGGTAAAAGTAGACTTTAAGAAGGCTTATGATTGTGTTTCGTGGGATTTTCTTAGATCTATGATGAGAAGTATGAGTTATGATTCTAAATGGAGGGGTTATTGTTTAATAGTTCGACGTCAATTCTTGTTAATGATAGTCCCACCAAAGATTTTGTGGTTTCTAGAGGTTTTCTCATGGGGGTCCGTTATCATTGTTTCTTTTCTTATTAGTGGCAGAAGTTTTGGAGGGGATGATTAGAAAGACAATAGCTTTAGGTGAGTATAAGGGTTTTCATTTTGATGATCACAATCAATTTGGCCTCCTTCAATTTGCAGATGATACGATTTTGACTAGAGATGGTTCTTGGAACAATTTATGGAGTGTAACAGCTTTGCTTATAGGGTTTGAGTTAGTGTTAAACCTGAGAGTAAATTCGCGCAAAAGTAAGATCCATTGATACACTATCCCTTTTGACTTCGTTCAAGCGACTTCTTCTTTTTTTGGTGTATGGTGTTGGTGCTCTTTCCTCTGTTTTTCTTAGGATTCCTATCGGTTTCAATCCTAGAAGACGTGAGATGTGAAATCCAATGACCTCTAAGTTGAAAAGAAAACTGTTGGGTTGGCATAATTGGCGTGTATCTATGAGAAGTATAATGGTTTTATTGAATGTTGTGTTATTAAACTTGCCGACTTTCTTATTTTTATTTTACAAGGCTCCAAAGCTCATTATTAAGAATATTATCAAGATTCAAATAGAGTTTTTGTAGGGAGGTTCAGAGGATAAAAAGTGAATTAATTGGATTAGTTGAAACACCATATGTCTTTTTAAGAAAGTTGGAGGTCTTAGTGTCAAACATTGCGGGAGGTTCAATTTGGCGTTTTAAAGCAAAGTGGAAGTGACATTTTCTGATGGAGAATAATTTGGTTTTGTCTAACCTTCTTTCTTGTAGATATGAGGATGTTAGTTGCCATAATAATTCATCAGTATGGTAGAAAAATATTTGTTTGATAGGAGAAGCGTTGGACACTAATCAAGGGTCTTGGTTTGTGACATCAATTTTTTGAAAACTTGGTGATGGGAGTGATATTGACTTCTGGAGACAAATAATAGTTAACATTATAAGAAAAATTAATCATTTTAAAATAAAATTATTTTAAAAATACACACCACATTATAAAAGTATTAGTTATATTACTATTTAAATATTAATGTATTCACCTATCCGGTACTATAAATATAAAGTATAACGTATTAATTTAAAGTAATATCCTCTTATTGGTGCCATTATATAATTTTTTAATCAGTATCACAAGAGCAAGAACATATAATAAATGAGATAAATAAATGCATATAATTTAATAACTTATTCTTACGATTTACTAATACTAATTATATAAAGATACACTGTATTGTAAACAACAGTGTATATAAATAGTTCTACAAGATTTTGGCAGCACTAAGATTTTGAATTCATCTTGTCTCGACGGTATCTGTTTGTGCACGGACAGCATTGCTGGAATAAAAACTCATAATTTCTCTTTTCCCTACATAATAATTAAATACAATTTATATAATTCATAATATATATTGTTGTGCAGAATTAATGGAATAATGAAAATTCTTCAAAAAGGTCTCAGGTCAATAGAATATTTTAAATCATAAATGAAAGTAAAATAAAAAAGAAAAATAAAAACGGAAAACGTTAGAATTAACTTACTCGACGTTAACGCATAGTCTCTGTGTGTTGGCAAGTGCAGAACTAACTTTAACGGCGAGATGACAGAGAAGAGGAAGAGTCAATGGATAACTAGAATGCGAAAGAGGAACGATGAAGTAGATTCGACCAGGTAGAAGCTCCTCCTCGTCAGGAACGCGTGGCATACACGTGCCGATGCACATTGACTCTGCGTTTGAGATGTAGCAGCAATTGTTGTTATCGTTGTTCTCTGAAACGACGAAGCTTGCTGAAATCGGTTGTTTATACTCTTTGATCGCACCGTTGGAAATGTTCATCACCATGATCGACGATGGTCTTCGAAAAGATTCCGATGCACGTGGTGTACCAGAGCCACCGTCCTTCCCACTAGCGGCTCTTTTTTTAGTGTGTGTGGTTTTCACATTGTGACAAGACGCGCACACGCCCATTCCAGATTCCCTCAGAGTCAAATATTCTAAAACTTTATCTTTCTCTATTATGGATGGGTTTCCTTATTCCATCTTCTATTTATTGTATATTTTTATCTTTACTATAAATTCACCTTTTAGATTTCATTATGCAATCAATGTGTTTGGATTAAATATACACCCGTTACATTATTTAAATAAATTCAAAAAAAGAAATTTCTCACTAATTGACAAAAAAACAATTAAAAGGTTTTGTTAAGACACTTCTGTTTAGAACACGTAGGAAAATCAGATTGTATGAATGCATATTTGAAATTTCAATCATAAAAATAAAAAAAATTCTGTAAAATCAACTCAATTTATAGTGTCGAACTTATATAGCTATGTTGTGAAGACACATCAAATTATAAAAGTGAATTTCGTTAAACCAATTCAATGTTTAGAAATTCTATTTATTTTTTATCAAATAACAAAAAAATACAAATTTGCAACATCCCTATTTACCAACTAATTTATTTGATAAAAAAAATATTATTTTTTCATTACAAAAAGATTTTGTTTTATTTAAGATACATATTAAAGAATTCAAAACAAAATTTTAGTATTAAATAATATAATACTTTGATTTCTTTTTCTTTTAAAATGTTGAATGCACTTTTAAATAAAATATTTTATATTCAATTTGACTAGTTAGTTTGTACAACAATAATAATTAACAAATAAAATAATAAAAGTAAATAAATAAAGGGATAAAGTTATACATTGATTAATATCAATTGTCATAATTTTTTTTAGAGGGAGGGGTTTGTCATGGTCATCTTTGAGAGATTAATATACATATATATATATATATATATATATATATATATATATATATATATATATATATATATATATATATATATATATATATATATATATATATATATATATATATATATATATATATATATATATATATATATATATATATATATATATATATATATATATATATTAAAATAAATCAAACTAAAATGGTTTTAGAAGATAATTGGGTATGAAGGTTCACTAGGATCATTCTCTTTATAGGCTTGCAGACATTTTGGGTAATCCGAATAACCTAATTTATCTCTTTTAGTTATACAAATTCTAACAGCTAAATGTCTTATTTCATTGTTTTTCTTGGGAGTATGTATGAACCTTATCTCCACAAATGAGTCTTCATTTTCATCATCCTTCTATATGTCATACATAGTTTCGTTCTCGACAAATCATTCATACCATAATCATCATCTTCATCAGTTCTATACAATCGAATTCAATCAAAATGTGTTTGATTCCTTTCTGAATCGTTAAATTTAAACCAACATTCATCGTCATAGTTTAAGTTGCCAAATAATCATTCTCTCCTTTTAAATGACACGAGGTGATTATAATGTTTTGACTTTTAGAGTTCGTTATTATTGCGCCTAAGTCCCAAGCCCTTTCTTTAATCAAGCTAGCGCTTGGGTTCAACTTCATCCACTCACATGTTTCTATTTGAGTATTGTCGTCGTTATTACTCGTAACATTTTTAGGCTTTATTAGAATATTCAGTTGATGATTTTTTTTCTTTTGCGTGTTGTTTTTATCAACCTTGTGGCTACGAGGGCTCTCATTGGTGTTATTATCCTCTCCATCAGTTTTCATCTCAACAGCTTTTCTGTAACGCATGTCTTCCATATTCTCATACATGTTAATATCGTTCTCATGATTTGTTTTATATTTCTGATTCATAACCTGACTTTGCATGTCTTTTCTATGTGCCTTATCCAAAAGAATCTTAGTCATTTTCATGTTTCCCATGTAGAGCTTCTGATTTTTGTGATTACCAAAATGCCTGGTGTTGTTTGATATATTTATTTCTTGAACTGACATTTTATTTTATTTTTCCTTTTTCATCAATATTGGCCTTCTTCTGTTTGGGATGAGGCTTACAAGTGATCGATCGACGACTCTTCGTGTTCTTATTAATATGATTTATATAACGAGGATCATCAATTATTTGGAGGTAACTGTTATAGTTCTTCTTTGTGTTCATATTTATATTAAGATCTTTGTTTAAACGATTATTGTCGTGACCTTTCATTTTTTGCATTCCTTTGTCAGGTTGCTCTCTCTGTTTCACCACTGATGACACTTCAAACTATCGTTTATTTGACTTGACTTTTGCATTTTTTTTCTATTGTTTTAATTCTGTTTCCACTATTATGCTAGTGTTTTTCCTTTATTTTAGGGAGTTTAGTAATCAAGATCTGTGGGCGAAGAAATGAAACAAAATGGACAAAAAACAAATAATTGAAGCAAACTTGCACCTATGGTGACCACCATGGCGGGCATCCTAGGGGTGCCATGGGTGATCCACGTACCAGCTAATGGGATGACCAAGTCATGCCTATTTTGTGAGCATGGAGGTCGCCATGAGGACTATGGCGGTCACCACTCTTGGAAAGCTCAAATGGTTGGGAACATACCATGCTTGGTCCCTAAGTCTACCAAAAATCGTCCCTACATTTTCTCCATGACCTGGAATTGGTTTCTTGGTGATTTCTAGGGTTGTGGACTCCTATAAATACCCCTTTCATGCCACTTTCCAGGGTATCCAAACTTATGCAAACTTAAGCCAAAATTCTGTCAAATTGTAAAGCATTAATCTCTTCACATCGGAGGATTATTGCACCGTCGATTGAGTCTGTAGCAAGTTTGGAGCACCTTGTTTATTTTCGAAGCACTTTATTTTCGTATTTTACATTCCGTCGAGATTTGTTTCAAGTTATCGCATTTTGTACCAGATTCAAGACACCGTTTGGAGTAGGTTTTTATTTCATTACGCCTTTATATTTACTTTGTCTTGCCTTTACTTTCCTGTTTTATTTACCTCACAATTTTTCTCTTCGTCTTATTTACCTCTACGCAAATTAATTTCATAATGTTTTTACTCGTCATTATGTTTACCTTGGCACTCAAAACCATTTATGTCTTGTTTTCCCTAAGCATGTCTGGCTAAATTATTGAATGCTGGCATGTGAGGATCGTCAATAGATGATGCTCTACATGTTGTTTCCTTAAGATTACCTTTGTGGGCTGTTTTGATTTAAACGCAATTTTCCTGAACTTATTTTAATTTGCCTTCACGAAAGTGATGCAGTGAAAATGTCGGATAAGATCAAAAGTCTTCTAACATTAGAGACTAAAATTGGTTTGTCTTTGGTTAACAAATACCGCCAAAGCACTTTGTTAATTAATTAGGAAGCTTTAACCTTTCTAGAAGGAGGTTTTAAAACTATTTGCAGACGCGTTCATAGGTTTAGAATCTGGTTTCTTGAGCGAGAGCCAGGAACCCTTTTTAGTTAAACTTTTCAGTCAAAATCACTTTTTTATTAAGTTAAGAGTCTAATTTCTTAAAAAACGAGTTTACTACTTTAACACGGTAAGCGCCTTTCATATGTGACAAATATAGGGTATAAATTAGAGAGTGAAACTCGGTTTTGAATACGCGAAAGTGACAATTCTTGTTAAATTAATTATTTTCTTAATAAAAAACATTACCCCATAAGTTATCTTAGTAGAGACAATCAGAGTATCGTCGATTGATGTGAATTACATTTTAGCATTATTATTCATTTGTTTTTATTAAATCCGTTTATTTCGTTTTCCTTCCTTTTAACTATTTCATTAGCCTTAGCTAAACACCGTAACAACTGGCAACAATAGATTTTTGACTATTGATCTCTATGGGATTGATATCTTTTAAAACTATACGACAGGTTGGGCACTTGCAGTTAGTTTGTTTACACCCGATCATGTTTTTGGCGCCGTTCCCGGGGACCAATTACGTCAAATATTGAAACTTTGTTGTTACACCGTCTGGACTTAGGCATCTTATTACCGGTCGATGCAAAGAACTTGCAGCACTGGTAATTTATTAGACCCAATAAAAGAACCTGAAAGATACGCTCACACATGTCTTTTGCTTTGAAAGATTAGAAGAGCGATGGCCGAAGAACAAAAATAAAGACCTATTAACGACTTTGCCCTACTTTCTAACAAAGAACCTCACTCGAGTATAGTTAACCCAGATATCGCAGCTCATACCTTTGAGTTGAAATCCGCTCTATTACAATTAGTGCAACAAAATCAGTTCCTAGGTCTCCCTACTAAGAACTCAAACCAACGTTTAAAAGTCTTTAGAGATAGAGCACAATCATGGTTATATTTCCTTCCACTCAATTAAATAACCACTTGGAATGACCTTAAGAAAGTTTTCCTTGCTAGATATTTTCCACCAAGTAAGACCGCTGTCTTACAAAACCAAAACACTAGATTTACACAACAAGATGAGGAATCTCTCTTTGAAGCTTAGGAAAGATATAATTCAAAACTTGAGAAAATCATGGAGAACTTCATTTCAGCCTAAACTCAACAACACAAATAATTCATGAACCAAAACATTCATATAAATGAGCTAATTACTCAATTAGGCACCAAAGTCGATTCTGTGGTAACCCACAACAAGATGCTTAAAACCCATATTTCTCAATGAGACTAACATCAAGCTGCTCAGGCTATGCCAGGAGGACAATTTCCTGGACAACCTTAACCTAACCCAAAGGGGCATGATAACGCTATTTCCCTGAGAAGTGGAACCATTTACGATGAACCAGCAGACCTTAGGTTGAAGAAGTCAGAAGGACCAAAGAGAAACATTGTGGCCATGCCTGAGAAAAGAACCGAGGAGAGTGTGGAATCTAAAAAGGAAAAGGAAGTCAACACTAAGGAAGGAGTTAAAGACGACCAAGTCTATATACCACCTCTTCTTTATAAGTCGCTGATTCCATATCCACAAAGACTTAAACAAACTAAATTAGATAACCAGTACAAAATGTTTGTGAAAGTAATTGAGAAACTCCACTTAGAGATCCCACTCACCGAAGCTATTACCCAAATACCATCTTATGCTAAATTCCTTAAAGACATCTTAACCAATAAGTGTAAAATTG